ATATGTCGTCCTAACTAAAAATTGATGATCCTTAATATTTGTCATTTCACAAAATCATAAATGACAATATTCTTCCTATTTTATCCTGAGAGTTATTAAACTTGAAAGTATGAATTTGACCAACACAAGAAAACTAAATGATTAATTCATGTTCATTGGTCAATTTAATTAATCAAAATTAATTAATTTATGTTCATTTATTGAAAATTGATTTCAAAAGAATACTAAATAAGGGTACAATTATAAACTTATATATTTTTTTAAGAAATGTAAATCTAAAATAATAACATATAAATGGTAACGGATGGAGTATCTCACCAATCAACGATTCCATTAAAGAGAGGAAGAATATTTAGCACGGCGTACCTAAAAGGCTATTTTTATAAGCCACACACAATTATTTTCTCTTTCTCCCTCTCCACTTAATTAATTCTCGTGAGGTATGGATCATAATTTGAATTTTCATTGTGTATGATCCATAAAAAAAAAGAATCTTTTTATTTTCTTATAAAGCATTCTCAATATTCAAAATTAAAGATTTTGAACAATGGTTAATTGGACAATCACGTTCATCCCACCATATTTTGAATGTTCATGTTATTGAAGTTATTATATATACCATTTTTATTATTAAGGGAATTATTTGGTAGAGTTATACACATATTAGTAATGTAGGATTAATTATGAGTGATTTATATTTTATTTTAAGCATGAATTATTTATTCATATAGTAATTATACTTGCATTAATTTTCAACCTTCTATCATACATAAAATAATACATAAATTTCTTCATCACTTAAACATATATTAATTATGCAGATTTCTTAATCGTCAACCAAATCCCATATATATAGAGAGAGAGAGAATAACTTACTTCCTATTTACAAACCAAACGTCATATAAGGACCTATTTGGGTGAGCTTATAAAAAGCAATTTATAAGTTAAAACTTAAAAGTCATAAGTCATTTGAATTTTGATTTATTTTAAAATTATTTTAGCCTAAAAGAAAGTATTTTATAACTTTTTCAAATACCTCGAAATTTTAAGAAGTGCTTAAAAGTAAAAAAAAACACACATAAAATATATACTATTTCTTACCAAATAATGATGTGTTAGATTGATAAATATTCCTTCATTCTTAATAATAAAAAATTGAATTCAAGTACTGTAAATATAAAATTATTTTTAGTTTTATCTTCCAAGCTAGAGTTTTCTTGTGTAAATTTAAATTAATCGAACTTTAAAAAAATGAGATCAAACCTCAAGAAAAAAAACAAAAATAATAATTATAGACCACCTTTTCTCATTTATGATTGTTTTTTTCTCTTTCCCCTATACATACCAAATGGGCCAATTGGGCACTCCCCTAAGATCCTGGCTCTACCATCCATTTATTATTGTCTTCCTTCTCATCCATTGTATCCATCCATTTATTATTGTCTTCCTTCTCTCTCTCATTACCTTTTCATACACCCAAGTGCCAACACACATTTATTGCAAAACTCCAAATCTACCTTTTTCCATTCTTATGTTCAACTTACCTTCTTGCCCTTCATTTTGTTTAATTTTCTTTTGAGACGGAAAGTAGAATGTAGAGATCTCGTAGAATGTACATAGATCTTATTACTCTTATTTTAAGAATGTAAAAATATATTTTGAAACGCAGTTGATTCGAGTGTATTAAGTCCAAATAAAAGAAGAAGAACATGTTGAAGAAAGCATAACAATTCATAAGAAAATAGTGTAACGTCTACAAGAAAGAAGGAAAATAGAATTATAATCAAAATACAAGTCTCTTTCTATTTTGATGATCTTAATATCAACAAGACTATACGTTAAAAGATATTTTAATATATTTACATATTTTTAATTTAATACCACGAGATTTTATTTTATTTTTACTTTCTTGAAGAAACTTATCTACTTGCCTTCTCATTTTACATAGTTGGACAGAGTTAGGCAAGCTGTGTGACTTATTTTATTTATTATTGTACATAAAAAAACGAAGAGTTTAGTTTAATAAATTTTGTTGACTTCTCATTCCGTGAAGTCCTTTTAAAAAAAAAAAAATTAAACTAAAACAGTTAGATTTACGTCTCTGTTAATATTTATTGGCTTAATTAATATCAATTTGAAATGTGACAATAAAAGCCAAAGAAGAAATTAGGGAACCTAACCTTACGTATCTCTCCCCAATTTTTGGGAATCTATAAATGAAGAACTATAGTCTATAATTTCACACTAATTACATTATTAATGATAGTAGGGGTACGCATAAGATCAATTTGTCAATCTTGAATTAATGGTTTGTGTTGTGGATTATTGAACTTAAATTCAACTTGGTTATAATTGTTCTTAAAGTTAAGATCGGAGGTATCTTTTTCTGTGTTTCTTTACCTTGTTATACTTTAACGATCTACAATGAATTTTTTAAAATTTACACTCTTATTAGATGTCAATCTAATATAAGTCAATTTGACATTGAATTGGTAATTTGAAATAATTGAGTATAGTAAAAGCAATTATGTTTGTTATTCTACCTATGCTTTAATGCCTATATCAAGGCAAAATTGGACTGATTCTTCAATCTTGATTTTAGTTTTTCCATTTCGATCTAACTTTGAATAATTATCTCTACATAGATCGACACTAGAATTGATTAAAAGCTTTATGGACAAAAGTGAAATGGAATAAAACTTTGAAGGATAAAATAACAAATTTCTAAATATTCTCAAAAAACATAAATGTTTGGTATGGAGGAATTCTTTTTCCAAAAAATATTTTTCAATTTTCTAAAGATTTGATTGGTCAAATATTTTTTTAAATATTTTCTTTAAGAAAATAAATTCCTTGAAATGAGAAAAATGACTTCCTTAATTGAATAGAAAAAAAAAACAAATTAAATAAACAACACTATAAATTTATTATCTCTTCTCCATATCCTAACTCCCACCACACCAAAACCCTCATTTTTCATCACATCCTATTTCATAGTATTTTATTATATATATATACTAGACATCAGGGCCCATTTGTTTTAATTTATGTGACAAAGACAAAATTAAAGAGTTAATCAAACTTTAATATTAATTTAAAATAGTTTAAATTCTAAATTATTGTTAACTATGGTAAAATTTTTTTTATGTCTTTTAACATTTTAAATTGCTAATTATTGTTGTATGATTTGTAATGTCTTTTACGCAATTTTGAAATAATAAAGGTTATTTCTTTTTTCTCAATTTATGTGGTACTAATAAAATTTCGAGAGTCAATCAATTTTTTTTGTCTTTAAAATATTCTATTGTAAATTATTGTACTTTCTAAGTAATTTTCAAATGATATATATTATTTCATTTGTCCAATTTATGTGTCACCGATAAAATTTGAAGAGTTAATAAGATCTTTTACATATTTTTATATCTTTTGAATATTTAAGTAAATAATTATTGTGATTTATAATATTTTATACAATTATTTTTAAAAAATTTAAACAACAAACAAAACGAATTCATCATAGGAAAATTACCAAAGCATCCTTGAATACATCAATAATGGGTCCCACTTTTTGTTTAAAAAAATATGCAATATTGGGAGGATATTTTTGTCCAAAGTGAAAATAGAATAAGTATAAAGCATTAAAGTCTTTTAAAATTTTAAATTGTTAATTCTTATTGTATGATTTGTAATACTTTTACGCCATTTTCAAATAATAGAGGTCATTTCTTCTTTCTCAATTTATGTAGTACTAATTTTTTTTTGAGATTCACTCAATTTTTTTTGTCTTTGAAATATTTATAGTTGTTAATTACTGTAATTTATAGTACTTTCTAAGAAATTTTCAAATAATATATATTATTTCATTTGTCCCAATTTATGTGTCACCGGTAAAATTTGAAGAGTCAATCAGATCTTTTATATATTTTTATATCTTTTAAATATTTAAGTAATTAATTATCGTGATTCATAATCTTTTATACAATTATTTAGTATAGTAAAATAAATTTAAAAGAAACAAACAAAACGAATTCATCATAGGAAATTACCAAAGCATCCTTCAATACATCAATAATGGGTCCAACTTTTTGTTTTTAAGAAATTGCACATTCGAAGGATATTTTTGTCCAAAGTGGAAATATTGTGTAAAAAATGTGTATTTATTGTGATTTTGAATGTTTTGTGGGGTAATAGGGCGCACGCAAAGTTTAGGTGTTTTTTTGAAAATCTGGGACAACTTCAAGTATCACTTAATGTTTTTTCTCAAAATCTAAGTTACTTTCATAAACTATGTGTCAGATCAAAATCAGATTAACAAATTCAAAAGGAATGAGTAATAAATAGCTCATATAATGACATATTTATTATTTAATTAAATAATAAATATGTAACTAAAAATCTTGTTAGCTTTTGGTTGAAAGCTAACAAAATAATTACAATGATAGTTGCATTGTGACTTATTATGTATATATATATATATCGAACATTAGGAAATAAGTAAGGTATAACACACCAATACTAATGGAAACTTCTTTAATTAGAAGAAAAAAAAGAAAGGATAAATTGGGTAATTTGCATACATTTCTAACTCCTATCCAACTTTTGCCTTTTATATCTCATCCTTTTTTTTTCTCTCTCTCTCTTTTTAGTTGTGGTTGTAGATATACTTTCCCTTGAATGACAACATAACTTTTTGACCATTAAAGTAATGATGTAAACTCCAAACATTTTGGTTTAAAAGCATATAATATATAAATATATTTATTAATTTAGTTTTAATTGATTGTATAAATAAATATTTAAATTTTTATAAAAATAAATAAATAAATAGATATGTATTTTATATAACGTGCTATGGTAAATTTAAATGATATCTTATATGTATTATAGCATATAAAATACGCGTGTTTATTTATTCAATTTTCTGACGGTATTCAACTTTCCCTTTGCTATTTTAAGGCCACTATTGTACCTCACACACGGCTTGACATTTTTCCTCTCAAATGAACGACTCCGCCACCATCACTGTCGCAGCCGCAGATACAGCAGCCGGAGCTGCTGTAAAACGCCGGAAAAAACTTCATCAACATCATCAGTATGAGTCCTTGATTCCTGGACTTCCTGATGATATAGCTCAGATTTGTCTTTCTCATGTTCAACCTTCAATTCTTTACTCCGTTTGTCAATCATGGCGTCGGCTTGTTTATTCTCCTTCGTTTCCCCCCTTTTTATCCATATATTCTCTACTGAAGCCATCTAAATCTGAGGAGAACTCCGTTCAGTTCGCGAATTTCGATCCGATTTCAGCAAAATGGAATTTACTTCCTCCGCCTCCACTTAATCCACCTCTCCGTCTCCTTCTCCGTCACCGTTCGTTCATCTCCCGACACCTTCCGATTCAATCGGTAAGCGTTTCCGGCAATTTTATACTCCTCGCCGCGACGACTGACCCTTTGCTCCCGGCCTTATCTCGTCCTCTTGTTTTCAACCCGCTCACTTGTCAATGGACCTCCGGTCCCCGGTTCGAAACTCCGAGACGATGGTGCGTTGCCGGCGCGTCGCAGGGCGTGGTGTTTGTTGCGAGTGGGATTGGGTCAAGCTATAACCCAGAGGTAGCTCGATCAGTTGAAAAGTGGGACCTGAAAAGTAACTGCACAAAGTACAGCTGTAACCATCACGATAGAAACAAGGTCTGGAAATGGGAGAAAATGAGTGGTCTCAAGGATGGGAAGTTCAGTAGGGAAGCGATTGAAGCAGTAGGCTGGAGAGGGAAGCTCTGTATGGTAAACGTGAAAGGCGATGCGGCGAAAGAAGGAATAATCTACGACGTTGGAAGTGACACGTGGCAGGAGATGCCGGAGGGGATGTTGGTTGGATGGAGAGGTCCGGTGGCGGCGATGGAGGAGGAAGTTATTTATACGGTGGATGAATCGAAAGGAGCATTGAGAAAGTATGATCCAGGAACTGATAGTTGGATTATGATTTTGGAAAATGAGATGCTTAAAGGTGCACAACATATGGCTGCTGCCGGCGGTAGAGTTTGCGTGGTTTGTGGCGGCGGTGATGGGATAGCGGTGGTGGATGTGACGGCTGAGCCGCCGAGTTTGGTGGTGGTGGAAACTCCGGTGGGGTTTCAGGTTTTGGACGTACATATTTTGCCAAGGATGAATCAATTGGATTCTTAATCAAAAGATGAATATTGAATAATAGTGTATTATTTCCAATTTTTTAGGTATATTTGGGATTATATATTTTTTGAAACGTTTTCACTTTATCATACTTTCTCACACGTTAAGGAGTGTACTGTTTTCTATATTAACAATGGCATTTTCACTTATCATATTTCTCCATATAGTGTTTCTGAATAATTCAAGTTCTTGGATACGTTCTGTAATTCGTCGCACACAATATTGTCTGCAAATAACATACATCAAAAATATCATTCTGCGTTTTATATTGCCATTTTTTTGCCCATCTATAATCAAGTGTAAACGAGCATGATCGAAATATTGATGTGAAATCGTAGTATCATTAAAAAAAATGATTTTGTATCTTGTATATATGTTGTCACTCTAGTAATTGCTTCTTCGTATATACAAATGGTATTATAAGTGATTTTGCTTACTCTCTAATTTGGAGTTGAGCGTATAGACATCATGAATGACAAAATCTTTTTTCTCTTTTTCCTATTTTTGCCTACCGTTGGTTTTAATTGGTAGGGGTTTCGTTTTAAAAACTAACAAGTCAGAATTCACCAACTAGAGTTATAGTGGAGTGATACGTATTCTTTTATCCTTAACCAAATGTCTCGAGTTTGAATCTTTTGTATATGGAGTCTTCTTTGTTAGAAGCATTTTATCCACTTTCCCGCACGAATCTGAATTTAATCGAATTTTAATATGAATATCGGACAGCAAATGAGAAACGAAAATAAATTTGGAATTTGACTGTGGGCCAAAGCCCAAATATAACCCACCGAATTTTGACTTATTATTTGGCATGTTATTGTTCGATGGGAAACCAAAATTTAGGTCCATTTTGTATATTCAATTTTCAAATTAACAATAAATATATATTACACCCTTTTACTTTCTAGAGTCCTCAAAAGGGCAAAAGTCATTAAAAGTACTTTGTTGATCGACCTTTTCGATGGACGATTTATTCCACTATAATAAATATATAACGAAATCATGTTAACTTTTTACATTTATTCCACTATAATATTCCAAACAATTACGTAAATATATATATGTCAATATCAAATTTTCTCGGAATATATTATCCTAACTGAAATGTTCAAGACACGTACAAAGGTAGAAGTATGGAGGAAGACAAGCAAAATTAGAATTTCAATTATACGGACTTTAATTTTAAATAATAATTTTAAGTGATAATATTTGTACATATTTAATATATTTATTAACATATATACATTGTTTAAGTAAAATCTATTGGTTCAGACGAACTTGCATGTGGGCTACTAGCTTGCCCCTCGAGACACAAACAAACAACAATGATTTATCTACTGTATTTTTACAAAGTATGGTTCGAAAAAAGTAAGATATACGGAGATTCTATCTTTACCTTTATGTTGTAGAAATATTGTTTTTGATAGACCTCCTGCTCAAAAGAAAAGAGGAATTCAAAGCATGATTACATAAAGACATTAGAGCAATAAATAGTACTGAATGACAAAGAAAATATGTGATTTTAAAATATGATTATGTATAAAGAGGGGAGACTAGCCCTGTGCCTCTCCCACATGAAATACAACAACTCTCGGCTATCGACTCACCTTCTATCAAAATTCTCGACCTTCATCCTTTCTCTTTAGGGATCATGTCTTTAATATGCTTAAGTTGTGTGATGTCATATCTAATCATCTTTCTCAGTTATTCTTTGGCTTACCTCTACACCTCCTAGCTTCTATTATAGCCAAACTTTTATACTTCCTGACGAGCACGTCCACACACCTCCTATTCACATGCCCAAACCATCTCAACCTAGTTTCTCTCATCTTACAGAGGTCACTCTCATCTTGTTATGTGGATCTTTATTTCTCTAATCTTATCTGTTTTAATATCTCCACACATCCATTTAAGCATCTCTATCTATGATATATTCATCTTTTGAACGTAATCATTCTTGACTGACCAACAATTTGTCCCATATTACTGTATGACCACACATCCATCTCAATATTCGTATTTTTGACATATTCATTATGAATATGTTGGATCTTAAAGGTGCAACATTCACTCAAACATAATAATACCGATCTTAATATTAATCATTTTGTAGAACTTGTGTTTAATTTAAGTATATATCCTCCTTTATATAACATATTCCTAGCAATTTTTCATTTCAGCCATCTAACTTTGGTTATATATTTGAGTAACAACTTTGCTTATCATACTTTCTCTTGGAATATGGAACATAGACACATCAAATGTTGCATAACATACACCACAATCACGTCGAATCTCATGTTAATTAACCTCTATCATGTTTTTCTTGTGTTTGTGATTTAAGAATTGGTCAGGTTCTAGTGACCAGGCGCAATGTTTGAAGTTTGAATGTTGACCATGTTAAGCAATATTTATCGATAGTTCCTCTAATTAATTCATCGCTAAATAGTTTCTAGTCGCTAATTCATTGCCGAATGAAATAACAAACTCCTTCTATCCCAATTTATGCGACACTTTTCGTTTTTCGAGAGTCAAGCAATTTAAGTTTGATCGGGAATTTGCGCATGGAATCTTCAATTTTTTTTAAATGAAATTTATATGTTTGTAAACTACGTAAAAAGTACTACAAGTCACAATAATTGATAATTTAAAATGTTTAAAAGATCTATGAAAATTTTACGATCAAAGATAAATTTGTTTGAATCTCGAAATCTGTAAAGTGTCATATAAAATGAGACGGAGGGAGTAAGATTTTTGTTTTTTTAGTTACAGAACTTTGTCCCTTGTTAATTCCTTATTTTCTCGTAGAGTACTGTTGCAATTTGAATATACTTCATAGATTATAAATGTTATTATTTTTATTTAATGAATGATTCCATCGATACTCTTAAGCTCTTATCTTTCAATATCCATTTGGATAAAAAAAGTATTTTCAAACGAAAAATGTGAAAGAGTTTGGTCAATAATAGAATAATAATCTTTTATTTTTATTGACCGAAAATATATTTATTTTTTCTGGGTAGAGTGAGTTTCTTCCTCGTGCAACTTGTTTAATAAATATGAAAATGAAAAGAAGTGTGGATTATAAGTGATTTTTTCTTCCTCTCTAATTTGGAGTTGCGAGTACAATTATCATGAATGTCAAAATCTTCTTCTTTTCCTATTTTGCCTACCGCATTTCGTTGCTCATTGGGTGTCTATATTCGCATTGAAATTCAATTATTTTAAATTTGCGTTGTGTAAGGCTTCATTTGAGAGGAAACGCTCCCTACCAAGAACCTTTTAATACATAGAGTTCGAATTCGAGACCTTTGGTTAAAAAAGAAGTAGCCTCATCTACTATAAAAAATAATTAATTATTGATTATATATATATTTGGTGCAAAAATTCGCCAAAAAAGCGACGGACTAAGAGATGTCGTCCGTCCTTTTGTAAAATAATTTAATTTTTTTTTTTAATTTAAAAGCGACGGACAGTGTGGCAATTGGCGTCACTTTCCGTGCTTTTTGACAGTTTTTTAGTAGTGTCTGATTGTACCGTTAGTTTTAATTGGTAGGGGTTTAGTTTTAAAACGTACTCCCTTCGTTCCAATTAGTTGTCACTTTCCTTTTTACCTACATATTAAGAAATTATAAATAAGAAAATAATTTTATTAATTACACCTTAAAAAAACTTCTTAGAAATTTTACAAACTAATGTGAACAGTTCTAAAAAAAATTAGTTGCAAGGATGATATATGAAAAATCTAACTAATGATTATTGAGTTAGTAAGATGTTCAAGAAATAACTATTTTTAGTAAGATGATTAGCTAATATAGAACGAAGGGAGTAATAAGTCGGCTGTGGGCCAAATATAACCACAAAATTATGACTTATTATTTGGAAGCTTATGGTTTGAAGGAAAATTCGATGGGAAGCCAAAATTAAAGTCCAATTGTATACACTCAATTTTCAAATTAATAATAATGAATATACACACTTATTTTACTTTCTAGAGTTCTCAAAAGGGCAAAAGTCGTTAAAATAGGAAAAAAACAAACTTCGTTGATCGTTGATTTAAAGTCAACGAAATCACTACGTAAAAATATTTAGCTAATACTAAATTTAGTAGAAAATCCTAACTGAAATGTTCAGTAGACACTCATGCATATATAGAAGTAGAAGTATGGAGGGAGACGCAAACAAACAACAACAATTTATTCTGTGCTTTTTCGCAAAATGAGGTACGAAGAAGAGAGTGAAATGTAGATGGATTTTACACTTAATTTTATGATATGAAGAGGTTGTTTTCAATAGATCCATCACTAAAAAAGAAAGAGTCGAGAGAAATATTTTTATTTAGGGAAAAGGTTTATAAATACCCCTCTTCCACTTTTGGGTCTAAAAATACCCTTAAGGTTTATGTTTGAGCTCAAAAATATCTCCAACATAAAAAATAAATAAAAGAAATCACTTGACAAAAGTTTATATTTTTATATCATAATATAACACCAATTATGTTGTGTAATTTCAAGGAACTTATATTGGTAGAGACATAAATTTATTTCATAACCACAAATTATAAGGACATAAACTTCACTTTCAAAATGTCATGTCTTATGAAGTTTATAATCCACAAGTTATGCCTTACAAGACATAGTTATGTTCCTACAAAACCTTAAGGCATAACTTAGAGCCTGTTTGGATCAGATTATTTTAAGTGTTTTCAAGCCAAAATAGCTTTAACGCATTTTTAGAGTGTTTGGATAAATTTAAAAAAAGTGCTTATAAGCAGTTGGTTTTAAGACAAAAAAAAAACAAAAAATCATAAATTATAAATTCTAGCTTATGATTATAGGTCAAAAGCAATAATAAGCCCGTTCAAACAAATTCTAATTATTACTTCTAAACTTAATACCTTGCAAATTAAATACTACACAACTTCTGTCGGATAAGATAAAAGTTTTCCAAGCTTACACCTAACGAAATTAGGTCATAGCTAATGGTACTTTAACGAAAGAACAAACATCAAAGACTGTTATATTGGATAGCAAAAATGAAAGACCACCCGAAAATAGAAACAATTCGCACAAAAACTTGAAAATATCCCTACTATTTACCATGCTTATATCCAAGATGGGCTGGGCTAGCTGTATTGGGCGTGGTAGACTTTTTGAGCCCATTATACAAAACCCGAATAATGAACCCATTTAGCAGGGCATGTTATCCCAATTCATTTCAATTTCTCCATTATCTTTCCCCTTTAAACCCTAAATAAACCCAGCTCAAATACTTGTTCATCCAGGTTGAATTTCATAGCATCTGATTTTGAATTGCATCTCAAGTAAGGTAAGACACTCAATTTGTGCGTGAATTTTTGTATTTTTCATGTTCGTGTTAGTGTTTAATTTGATGTGTAGTTGTAAATTGAAATGGAATAGAATTGTTACATATTAAAGTTTTCGTACAGTTCTGAAATGTTGAAATTCCCGTTGGAAAATTGTTTTTCGGATATGAATTTGAGAATTAGTCAAATTTAATATCGAAGATCGAAAAATAGACTTTTTGGAGCAGAGTATTATTGTTGTAATTGAAGTGGTTGTGCCCTTATTTTGTTTCGTTTACTAATTGTCATGATAAATTATCAGCTGAACTTTGAAGTGAGGGCTGTTGTGGTTCTACATTTGCTTGAAAACACATGGCTGAGAGACATTCTGTTGATCAACAGCAAACTCCTGAATCACAAATGCAATCTCCTGCTTCAAGGGATGACATGATTGCGTGTGTTATGGCATTAGAGGCTGCTTTGCTTCCCTGTTTGCCTGCACGAGAGTTACAGGCGATAGACCGTTCAGCCCATCCTTATCATCAGAGTGAGTAAATTTTGGCTCATTATATAACCTGTCTTTTGCTTGAACAAGTAAAATTATATCTGGAGTCTTGTATCTACTGATAATCGTTGAAGGATGAGATTAGTTGTAATGCATCAGTCAGAAGAATGCAGCATAGCATAATTGTTACTCCTACACTCTGTATGCTTACTTTTGCTTGGCTGTCAAAATTTACTTTGGGTCCTCTGCTTTGAGCTGGAGTACTGTCAGAAAATTTAGCTATTTGATGATCTAAAACTCTCTGGGAATATTTTGCTTTTAAGTTGAGGTCTTGCTCCATTATCCATTTCAATACCGGTAAAGCCCTACTAGCACTGATCCAATGAAGCTTTTGTCTTGTTGGAGTTGGCTTTATGACCATGATACTAGGTCTTTGAATATTGCAATTTTCCTAAGCTTCTTAGTCAATCAATCAATCAGTCAACTATCCTTTAATCACAAACTAGTTTGGACTTTGGGTTGGCTGTATGAGTACAGAGTATTCCATGTCTAATACGATCTACTCGGTCCATAACATTCCAATTGTCAGTTATTTCTCTTAAAAGACAACTTAAGATTTTAAAACTAGATGCTCTTTTTATTCCACGCTTACCTCTACACTGATATACTAATCTCCTGCAAAACTAAATAATCTTTGCAAACACAATACCTAATAAAAGTGTTATAGTAACAACTAAATCCTTAATCCCAACTTTTAGCAATAATGGCTCTTAGTTACCTTTGTAATTTACCTGAGTCTACACTCTATTACTCATTTCTAGAGTTTCATCATATGTCCTGTAGAAATGGTGACACTTTCAGGTTCTGATGATGGTTCCCTAACACCCTAACACCTATGCAGGAATAAGGTTTGGATTTTTCCCTTTTCAATTTAGGCTTGTGTTTGTTTCTCTTTTTCCATTTTATTTTATTTGTTGTGCTAATTCATGCTTGTTCAAGTGTAGTAATTTTCATCGTTTTCCTTCTTTTTTTTCTGAATGAGTTGCAATTTTTTTGTTTCACAGTTGATGTTGAGAGGCATGCGAGAGATTTCATGGAAGCAGCTAAAAAGCTTCAACTTTATTTGATTGGTTTGCAACGCGAGGACCTGCCGTCCAAGCCAGATATGCTTAGAAAGGTAAGTTAGGGTAACAAGAAACTAAAATAATAGAAAAGAATTTTTTTTGATGATATGAGTTCTTAGAGTACTAGTGTTTCCCATGAATTTTGGCATTGTTAACGGAGTGTTGTGGATTCCAATTAATATGAACAGGAGATTGCAAAAATGGAAGAAGAGTTGAAAACAAAAACTGAGCTTATAAGTAAGCAGGAAAGACTGATCCAAGAATGGAGGAAGGAGTTGAACGATCAATTAGACAAACACAACATGGAGTTGGAAAGGGTGTAAACCTACTGCGGAGCTTATAAGTAATTTGAAACAAAAACTTAGCTTATTGTTTTCTCTGCTCTCATGCTGTATTTGAAGGCGGTAGAAGGCAACAAGCTCGCTACAGAGATGACTTGTTGCTACAACAACAACAAACCCAGTGTAATCCCACAAGTGGAGCGAGATGACTTCTTGTTAGTGTGTTTAAATGACAGGTTGAGGTAGAATGAGCATAGTTTGTTGACACAAGGCGGATAATTCAGAAGACATATAACTCATTGTTAATGTAGCTCACTGCGTATTATTTTCTCAACTGCGATGCCAATTCCCATACATCTTATTTATAGATGGAGAGTACATTGTTGAGCTTTATGTATGCCTAGCATGTTAGAAGAGTTTCAGTTTTACTGAGAACTTCATCTTCGTGATGTTTCTGCATTTTAAGGTTTTTCCTGCGCGCTGAACTCATTGCACTATGGAATTTCTATCTTCTATCTATTTTGTTGTTTGGAAGTTAAAAGGTCTGGATCCTTCACCACATTCTCTCCCTTGGTTCTTAGATTGTAAGTATATCTTCCCTTTGCTGTTCAACCAACACTAATACCTTGAGTCGATCATGTCATGCGCAACGTACATCAATGATAGCTTATTAATGTCAATTGATTTAGACTCCTCCTTCTTCTCAACTAAGAAAAAGATCGAGAGGGGCCCGAAAGCCCCAAAGAATGGAAACTGAATTTGATTCACTCTCTATTGTCTCTTAAATAAATAAAGCTTGCCCTGGGCCAGGTCTTTCCCTGGACGATAAGACTTTCCAATGAATAGCTAGGCTAGGGCTTATTCTGATTCACTTGCTATGGCATTCGTTGCATCAATTCCTTGCATCCCTAAAGCGATAACTTCTCTAATTTGTTGCATCCCTTGTGATCAAGTTACCCTTACCTTGAAATCAAGTTCTTATTCTAGTTTATATCAATAGTACAACTCGATAATTAATTAATAGTAATACAAGAGTTCTACACCTAACCACTACTAAGACTCATAATCAAGAAAAAAGTTTTCTTCAATTTGCAACTTGTACAATGCACTTGAACAGTATGTCAAAACTCTACAAAAGCTTTTGCTCGTTCACAAACACCTAGTAAACTCAAACTTTTCTTCACCTTGTATTCAGTCGATCCAATTTACTTTGCCCATCATCAAAACTTCGAAAGGCCCTACACACATTTGCAAATTAGATTATAGGAATATCCACTTAATTTACTTTTTTATTTCATTTTTGAATTCAACATCCACTAGTGGAGCTAATACTTTTTTACTTTTTTTCTTAAAACTTTTTCGTAATCCAAGGCATCTCGAATTGAAGGAGAAACATGTGCCTAATGGTATATTATAAAGTCTACTTGCTTTCTTTAATAAGACTTTTAATTCTTTTCAGAAATCGCACCTTTTTATTAAATTGTAGTAGTTGTTTTGATGTATTATTATCGACTGGCTAGTGGTGCAATTATTTATTCAATATATATTCCATTAGTAGCTGCTATCTGTTACTGAACAATTATAAGTCCACTTGCTTTCTTTAATAATAAAATATTATTGTCAGAAATCACACCTTTTCTTGAAATACTTAATCCATTCGTCCTAATTTATGTGAGATATTTTAATTTGACACGAAATTTAAGAAAAAAAAAATGACTTTTGAAATTTATGCTTTAAAATAAATCATAGATATTTGTGTGACTGTAAATCATTTTATTAAAGACAAAATAGACATTTTAAAAATTAAATTCTTACTAAATATGAAAACGTATTATTTTTTTTTAAATTGATTAAAAATAAAATTAAATCATATAAATTGTGATGGAGAAATCTTTATTACAGTAATTGTTTTTATCTGCTTATTATTGACTTGTGGTGTAATCATTCAATATATATTCCATTTGTAGCTGTTAATTACTAGTACTATATATTATAAGTCTTTGCTTTCTGTAATAATATAATAATTCTAGTCAGAAATCTCACCTTTTCTTTATATAAAATAATCTAGTGGGGTAAATATATTCAATACTATATGTTATTATTGTGTATGCTACATTATTTTAAGGTTACTAGTCCTTTCTAGATCCACATGCTATTCGTTCCTAATCTTGTTCCCTATTTTTTATTAAAAGTTAGGAGTCTCATATAAAAAATATGTGAATTATTCCAAGACCAACATATCATTCCAAAACTGAATACACTAACTAGCAAAAGTAATCGTTATAGCTAAAATTCATTGAATCATATCAAATATTTCCTCTCTCCCTAATTACTTGTTCACTTTTAAATTGACACAGTTATTAAGAAATCAATAATTAATATAGTGAATTTACCATTTTACCCCTATTAATTATGAAGTGGATGAATTAAAAACTTAATATTTTCAAGAAAGGTAGTTGATTTGTCAAAATGAACAACTAATTAGGGACAACTAAAAAAAGAAATGTGAACAAGTAATTAGGAATGAGTAATAATATGTGAATTATCCCAAGACCAACATATTATGCACTTGTAACATTCATTTTTAAAGCATTCTCAAAACTATCCAAAATGACTAAACAACACATTTAACATTTTGTATGAGATAAAACAAAGTGATTTTAAATTTTCAATAACAAAAGTAAATGGTTCTATGTGATAATAAATCGCTTTTATTCAAGGAAATTGGATTCATTCGTCTCAAACTGATTTCAACATGAAAATTAAAAGCAAACAAACAGACAAACCAATAAACAGAAACAGAATCGTAACAGATCATATCATTCAACTCATGTAATCTCAGCAGATTCACTCCACACTAATTAACAATCCGCAAGCTTGATCTCCACACCTCCAATGGAAATATCACCTTTCTTTGGTACCAGAGTCACCGCAATAGTCTCGTCATCTTCCAAACCAATGTCCTCCAACAGTTCTGTTATCGCCAACCGGAGAGTAGCAGTTGCAGTATGATTAGTATCCCCAACTCTGTGTACATGTGGTAAGCTAGTATAGCTCCCCGCGAACTCTGCCTTATCAAGCTCATTCGCATTCACATTGTTATCCACGTTCAGGAACACATCGAACCTTATGTAATCTCTGTTATCATACTTTATTTCATTGAACGTTAGCATCTCCTCTTGTGCATTTTTCTCCTGTTGAGTCCTTGACGAAGCAGGCCTATTGATGGAAAACGAAATTGCTTTATCGAGTTTAGCCAATGGGAATACCTGGCTTACGGGAGGAATTGAACTTGTATTCACTTTTTTCCCAGCTGAAGCCTTTGTTTTTGGCTTGAAGTTACGCCATGGGGTAGGCATTGGTTCGTAATCATATCCCATCTTCTTCGTGTCCAAACAGTCTCGGACTTTCACTTTGAAGGGATTTCCACTTTCATCATAGAAAAAGAACTCGGAGTTCAACCAATCTTTGTTTTGGATATCTGTTCGTTTACCTCCAATTGCTTTCCATTCTTTCCACATCCGGTCCACATTGCTGTGATGGCAATAGAAAACTGGGTCTAAACCAGCTGAGTAGAAATGACCCATGTCCTCACCGTTTGATGTTTTACCATCAGGCAAAATGGAACCTCGTCTTGTACCAGCCCAAATGTGTACAGGACTGTGAGGGATGACTTCAACAGTTCCCGGTGATTCAACGTCACTCCCGAGAGTGTAAGGTCCACCAAAGAACATAAGAGGACATGGAGCATTAGTTACCAATTGACGGTACATTAGCGTTAAGTTATTAGTCATCAACTGTAGTTGAGTTGTCTGAACTTGATCCCCAAAAGAACCGAGATCTATAATGGTTCCATTATGGATTTGTTCACCACGCCTTTCGTCATAAAGGGCAGTCCCTGGAATATCGAACATGGGAGGGAAACGCATGCCCTTTGGATGATCCCAATTCCAATATGGTAAAGCGAAAGTTGGATCATTGATGAGTGATCCCAAGATTCTTTCGTAGAAGTATAAGTACCATCTATGGAACGGGAAGAAAAGCCATGAGTTATGAACTTGTAACACTTTGCCATCAATAGCATAAGCACCGTTACAATAAGCACAATGTATATTAGCTTGTTGCTTAAACCCAATAGGATTTAAAGGTTGTGTCTTATCAAGATCTTTCATTCGACTAATCGCCAGATTGTACTTGGCAATATAGGCCTCATCAAGAGCATGAGCAGGGGGACGAATACGGAGCTTAGTCATAGAAGGGAACTTGTAATATGGAACTTTCTTCATATCTTTAGGCGTGGGAGCGCAACATCTGTATGGCACCTCCGTAGTTGCATTAATCTTTGCATTACTACAAGATGAGAGATCAGGAGGTGGAGCTGGAGTAGCGGATGCAGCTAATGGTATAGCATTAGCAACACCATAAAGACCACCTAAGCCAAGAAGAACATTTCTTCGATCAACAGAATTCGTTTCAACGTTTTGGTTTTGGTCACCGTTATTATTGGTAACCTTGCATGAAACTTTGAACGTTTTGTTACGTTTTCCATGGAGGAAAAGTTGAGAGGGCTTAGGAGTGGAACCTAAAGAAGTATTGGATGAAATGAAAGGAGTTTTGAGAGTGGTACTGCTACTATTACACAAACTTGCCATTGCTAGTTTTTGGATGAAGATTCATAGGGCTATACATTGCCTTATATAATGTGTCGGAGCCAAATAAAATATTACTCCATTTCAAACTTGATTAGAGGTAGCTCGATCACATATCGAACAATTCGGGATGTGGTAGGTGAGGAAATTTTTTAACAATATACTATATCATTTTAGTTTTATTAATACGAGATTCATAAGCATTGGTAATTTCAAAACATAATCATCATTAATACATCAAATCAAATCAAACCGTTGATAGGAAATAGTCTTAGCATTATTAATTCCATCATTTTTAACGCATCTTATTCAGTACTATATTTATACATTTTATCAAAACAACTCCAAACTCACCTAACAACTCTTTTCCACTCCAAAAGCACTATTTCTCTTAGGGGAGATAAGAAAAGAGGTGCTTTTAGTCATGACACAGATCTCAAAATTAGCTTTATATTTCGTGTTTTCTATGCAATTTATTCTTTTGTCAAAAGTCATTTTATGAAATTATGATGTTTCTTTTTGGCGCTTGGTTTAATTCCGTCTAGATTTTACCCTCTTCTTTTAAAAAATAATACAAGCTTTTTTTTTAGTCGGTTTAAAACAATGACTTTTTTTTTTGCTATATTTTAACTTCAACTTTCCACGTAACATATTTAAGATAACAAGACTAAATGACATTTTGGTATATTTAAGGTCACGAAATAGAAAATTCTTCTTTCTTTACTTAAACTCCATACAAAATCAAATTAGGTCATTATTCTTTAAATATTTTGACTAAATTACAAATTATTGACAAGTAGATGAGAAATTCATAGATAAAATGTACCCCAATTGGAGCAAGTTTAAAAGCTCACTTAATATATTTGGGACGCGGTAGGAGGGAAATTAAGAATAATAAGTGTGGGGAATTTTTAATAATTTTTTTACTTGGGAAGATCTGTAATAGACGAATCAAATATAAGTAGTGTACTACTTTTTTAAACAGAAAGATAATTTTGATATAATATTATATTATATTGATGTACATCTTTTGGAGTACACACTTGCACACTACCTTTTAATATTCAAATTATAAATAAGGAGACAACTTGGATTCTATTTTTACTCAAATATTTTTTAATATTATGAAATTGTTATCGAAAATAGGAAGAATTTTACCTATGTTCTTATTTTCATTAGTCGTCAATTTTTACTCTATCATTGTTCAACACCATTAAAACAAATAACATGTATAAATCTTTAAAGCAATCAGTGTGGATCTAAAGTTTTATTTAATTTTTGCTTATACTTGGTATATTTATTTTTAAAAAAATATTAACATTTAATTGTAAACTCGATAATATTATAACTAAATATTATGAATCATCCGACTCAGGAGCCATCACTATCATCACCAAATATAATTGATGTGTTTGTGAATTTAGGTAGTGGTGTCGGATTTTTCACTTAAAATATAAAAAGTAAAAACACTTCCGTGATCACTTTGTCCTGTTCTTCATATAGAAAAAGTGTTTTGGATGAGCTTATAGATTCTTAGTCGGGTTTGAATCGATGATCATCGTAATCAATTTCTTTTCCAAACATAATTGTAACTGATTTATTCTTGAATAACAACTTCAATGAAATCAAGCAACAAAGCTGATTTCAACATGAAAAAACAGAACAAGAAAACAAAAACAGAGCATCATCCATCAAAGTGTAATCTCAGCAGATTCAATAGAGACTAATTAACAATCTGCAAGACTGATCGTCGCACCTTCAATGGAGATACCTTCACCACCTCTCTTTGGCACCAGAGTCACCGCAATAGTATCTTCATCTTCCAAACCAATATCCTCCAACAGTTCCGTTATCGCCAGCTGGAAATCAACAGTCGCGATATGATTAGTCTCACCAGCTCTATGAACATGTGGCAAACTTGTATAACTCCCCGCAAACTCCGCCTTGTCAAGCTCATTCGCATTCACATTATTGTCCACGTTCAAAAACACATCGAACCTTATGTACCCTCTGTTATCATATCTTATGCTACTGAATGTCAACATCTCCTCTTGTGCATTTTTCTCTTGTTGAGTCCTTGACGAAGTCGGCCTATTGATGGAAAACGAAATTGCTTTGTCGAGTTTAGCCAATGGGAATACATTGCTAGCTGGCGGAAGTGAAGCTGTATTCACTTTTCCAGCTGAAGCCTTTGTTAAGGGCTTGAAGTTACGCCATGGTGTGGCAATTGGTTTGTAATCGTATCCCATCTTCTTCGTGTCCAAACAGTCTCTGACTTTCACACGGTAAGGGTTTTCATTTTCATCATAGAAAAAGAACTCGGAGTTCAACCAATCTTTATGTGTGATATCCGTTCTTTTCCCTCCTGTCGCTTTCCATTCGCTCCACATCCGGTCCACATTGCTGTGATGGCAAAAGAAAACCGGGTCCAAACCAGCTGAGTAAAAATGACCCATATTCTCACCGTTTGATATTGCACCATTGGGCAAAGTAGAACCTCTCACTGTACCAGACCAGATGTGGACAGGACCGTGAGGGATGTTTTCTATAGTTCCCGGGAGTTCAGTGTTAACCCCGAGATCATAAGGCCCGCCAAAGAACATCCGAGGACACGGAGCATTAGTTACCATTTGACGGTACATTAGTGTTAAATTATTGCTCATCAACTGGAGTTGAGTTGTTTCGACTTCATTGCCGAAAAAACCAAGATCGATTACTGCTCCATTTCGGTGACTTTGGTCACGTGTTATATCGAAAAGGGAAGTCCCTTCACGATCATACATGGCAGGAAAACGCATACCTTTTGGATGGTCCCAATTCCAATATGGCAAAGCGAAAGTTGGATCATCAATGAATTTTCCCACGATTCTCTCGTGGAAGTACAAGTACCATCTATGGAACGGGAAGAAAAGCCAAGAATTATGAACTTGTAACTCTTTGCCACCAATTCTATAAGCACCGTTACAATAAGCACAATGTATATTAGCTTGTTGCTTAAAACCAATAGGATTTAAAGGTTGTGTCTTATCAAGATCTTTCATTCGACTAATCGCCAGATTGTACTTGGCAATATACTCCTCATTAGCTTCATGAGCAGGCTGACGAACACGGAGCTTAGTCACAGAAGGGAACTTGTAATACGGAACTTTCTCCATATCATCAGGCTTAGGCGCGCAACAACTGTACGGCACCACCTGATTTTCGTTAATCCTGGCTATACTACAAGACGAGAGATCAGGAGGTGGAGCTGGAGCAGCGGATGCAGCTAATGGTATAGCATTAGCAACACCATAAAGACCACCTAAGCCAAGAAGAACATTTCTTCGATCAACAGAATTCGTTTCAACGTTTTGGTTTTGGTCACCGTTATTATTGGTAACCTTGCATGAAACTTTGAACATTTGGTTACGTTTTCCATGGATGAAAAGTTGAGAGGGCTTAGGAGTGGAAGATAAAGAAGTGGAGGAAGAAGTAAAAGGAGTTTTGAGAGATGTACTACTACTATTGCACAAGCTTGCCATTATTGCTAGCTTTTGAATGAAAATTCATTGGGCTATACCTTGCTTTATATAATATGTAAAACAGTATAATTATTCAATTTAATTTAGAGGCGGCTTCCATATCAATTATTCCAGGAAGCGGTAGGTGGGGAATTTTGAATAGCAGCCATACAATTATTAAGTTTTTGTTCTTAGAAGGATCTGTAGTAAACAGAAAAATAACTTAGTCTGGATAATAGTAGTATTTGTTAATCTCTTAGGGGTCTGTTGATAGATTTATTAGAGAATTTAATGTATGTATTAGTTATACATCATATTCAGTATTACAGAACATATAAGCAAACTATAGTAATAGCATTTAGTAATGGCCGTTGAAACATAATTGTCCTTAATAAATCAAATCAAAACAGAAGATAGGAAATAGTCTCAGGTAACTAATCTCAGTATTACTAGTAATATATTTTTTTCATTGCTCTGTCCAAAGGATAAGATATTTTATGAAGTTACTATGCTTTTTTTTTACGAATCAGAGCAACAAAGATATCATGTTTCTTCTTGAGCTTTTTTTTTTCTTTCATTTACGCTATTGACTAAGAACTTCAGTCTAGATATTATATTTTTTTTGCCATCATTTTGACTAGATTACAAATTATCAATAGGTAAATCATAAATTAATAGATAGAATATTTTCATTTAATATATTTGTGACTCCGGTAGGTGGGAGATTAAGAATAATAATTGTGAGGAAAATCTTAAAACTGGAGTTTTTAATCTTAGGAGATCTATAGTAGACGTCTAGACGAGTCAAAGAGTAGTACCAGTACTTCTCTACACAAAAACATAAATTTTATAAGTAATGTTAATCACGGGGGAAGTCAGAATTTTAACATTGAATTTTATGACACGATTTTAAAGGGTTAATAACTGAATTCTTGACCTAAATTTGTATATATTTTGTAAAAAAAATTACTATACAAATATATTATTTAAGCAAATATTGTTGAATTTGACGAAATTTGTAATCAGACTTCTAGCTCCACCCATGGTATGTTATATTACTGTAGATCTTTTGGCATACACTTGCAAACAATATTCTTTTGGAAAAAGTCTTTTAGTCGTGATGTCCATGTGGTTTCCCATTAGGAGATGTAGAGCTTTTAGTACCAGTTGTCGGAAATGAATGTTCATAGAAAGATAATTGAACCGTTGAGATAATACTTCCTCCATCTCATATTATAAGTCATTTTTTTTATTTGTATTTGCATTAAGAAATAAGGTAATTTTACCCTTATGCCCTTATTTAGTGTTTGTTTATGACAACTTTGTAATAAATGATGAAATGTTAGATTTCAAAAATATAAATGCATTTGGATGACTATTTAAATTTTACTTTTTGGAGCCAAATATTTTCACCAATTGATCCAAAAAAATTTAAAAATCAAGTTTTTCCACCTCAATTTACCTATATATTTTGTGTAAAATGTTTTTTTATATTTTTATATA